ACAGGTAACACACACCCGTAGAGTCAGGTCAAACAGGTAACACACACCCGTAGAGTCAGGTCAGACAGGTAACACACACCCGTAGAGTCAGGTCAAACAGGTAACACACACCCGTAGAGTCAGGTCAAACAGGTAACACACACCCGTAGAGTCAGGTCAAACAGGTAACACACCTGTAGAGTCAGGTCAAACAGGTAACACACACCTGTAGAGTCAGGTCAAACAGGTAACACACACCTGTAGAGTCAGGTCAAACAGGTAACACACACCTGTCTGTCTCTTTCCCCCCTGCCTGTCTCAGGTGCTGGGCTGGATCTCAGAGGGGGAGGTGATGTTGTCGTCCTGCATGTTGAACTCCAGCTGTCTGTCTGAAGCTGAGCAGCTACAGAGGGAGCACGAGCGCCTCCAACAGGCCATAGAGGTAACTGCACTCCAAGAATTCACAGTCACTGAACTGAGACAAGGTCAGTCAGTGAAACTCCTCATGTGACATCTCTTTCAGGCTCTCCTCCACGCAGACTCCTTGCAGAGGACTCACCAGGTGGCTCTGGCGCTGCAGCAGAGGGCAGAGCTTCTGGTCAGGTGAGTCACACGGCACTCATACATCTATGCAGGCTGGAAACGAACCTCTTTCTCATCAAGTGACCTCTGACCTCCCCCCCTTAGGTCAGGTCACTACGACCCAGATGCGGTGCGGTCTTGTGCCCAGACGGTGGCGCTGCACTGGCAGACTCTGATGCTGAGGATTGAAGACCGACTCAAACTGGTCAACGCCTCCGCAGCCTTCTACAGGACGTCCCAGCAGGTATCACCATCTGTCTGTCTACTTGCACTACCTGTCTGTCTGTCTGTCTGTCTGTGTAGCTACCTGTCTGCCTGCCCCTCCAGGTGTGTGGGGTGCTGGAGAGTCTGGAGCAGGAGTACCGCAGGGAGGAGGACTGGTGTGGAGGTGGAGAGAGGCAGCCGGAGCTCCTCCTGCCGCTGGTCAGTAAACACATGGAGCAGAAGGAGGCGTTCCTGAAGGTGAGGACAGTCCTGGACACTTTTATACAGTCTGTTTTTGTTAGTTTGTTTGTGACATTCTGTAAAATGTGAACATAGCAGAGAGCTGAGCACAGCTGCTGTCCGACTCCACATTAAGAGAGATGCTGTGCACATTTACTCATGAGGAGCAGCATAGCTAAACTAAATTTTTAGTTCTGCTTCCTCTTTAACCACAGTTGTAGTTTTGATATTTACTTTTATGACATTATGTGAAATGTGAACGTAGCAGAGAGCAGAGCAGAGCTGCTTTCAAACTCCACATTAAGAGAGACACTATGCTCATTTATGCACGAGGAGCAGTGTAACTAAACTAAAGTTTAGTTCTGTTTCCTCTGTCAAGTGTAGAACTACAGTTTTTAGTTTTGATATTTGCTGCTGTGACATTCTGTAAAATCAGAACATAGCAGAGATCAGAGCAGAGCTTCTGTCTGACTCCTAATTAAGAGAGATGCTACACACTGATGCACAAGGAGTGTCAGTGTGTAGTATTTAAAAAAACATCAGTATTAGGGTCCCTCTGTTCTTTGATAAATGATAGTATTTATTTGTTGTGGACAGTCTTCGATGGTCTGCGAACGTCTCGAGGCATCCTTTTCTTTATTGGTCATAAAAAGTCCTGAGCTGTTCACATATATTAACCTCAGTGTGACAGGGTGACTAACAGTCTTGGTTCGATGGCAACAGGCCTGCACTCTGGCCAGACGGAACGCCGAAGTCTTCCTCAAGTACATCCACCGTAACAGCGTCACCATGGCAAACATCTCAGGCCACAGTGTCACCGTCTCCGGGGTGACGGGGGTCACCGAGGTCACGGGGCACTCCAGGGTGCCGGAGCAACAGGTCAAAGGTGAAATGAACACACTCAGAGACACACGAGTCATGTTCAGTCAGTGTAAACAGAGACATGCGGTGGAGCCAGTGTAGAGCCCTGAGGGACTCCACCTGGTTTATATCTGTATGCAGCGTGGCGTTCGTTTGACTGATCCAGGTGTGTGTGTGTGTGTGTGTGTGCAGGTATCCTCAGTGAGCTGCTGCAAAGGGAAAACAGAGTTCTTCATTTCTGGACTTTGAAGAAACGTAGACTGGATCAGTGCCAGCAGTACCTGATGTTCCAGAGCCACGCCCAGCAGGTACGCCGTTAACGTTAAATCAAAAATAAATTAATTAATATTACAGTGAAAGAAAATTGATGCATTCTCTTTTTAAGTTTGGATGATTATTAATTAATTTATTCACTGGCAGAGGTGGAAGAATTAATTTCATCTTTTCATGAGGTAAAACCAGCTATATGGAGACAGATTAGTGTCAATATCAGCTGTGTAAACAGATTAACAGCCTGTGTGTTTATGTGTAATCTGTGAATATTAAACATCCACAAATACAAAAAAAATCTGTGAAATCAAATAACTATTTAGCCAATACACAAATTCGACAAAAAAACATCTCTGAATACATTTAATTATGGCAACGCATTGACACCACGCAAAACCTAACAAAAATATTTTGTGAATATAAAAAAACCCTGCAAATACGCAAACAAATCCAAAAACAAAAT